ATAAAAGTAAAATTTAAACAAAAAAATCTCAAATATTATTGCTTTGACTTTCCCACACTTATGAACTAGTCAAGTACTATATACATGAGCATTTCGCAGCAGTCAGTTTACGTCAGTTTGTAAAATGGGTAATAATTAATAATAATTGGTACATAAAGAAACTGGAAATATAAAAGTAATAGTTTAAAATAAATTAATATGGCACTCAAATCTACATCTGTTGGGGCTATCTAACATTTTTAATGACACAAGACGTATAAATATGGAGGTTACTCCTAGAACTGAAGCATGCTGTGTGGTTGGATGTTTTAGGCATCTGGGAAAATTGAAACAAATGTTCCATATTGCATCCCTGTCATTTTTAGGAAATACAAAATACATACAATTTAACACTTGTAATGAAAGCTCCTAGACATTATAAGAACTATCCAGCTTCTATAAAGACATTAAGGGTCATGACCTACCTCTGATCAGAGGATCAGCAAAATGTTTACTTCAGTACACTCAAATCATTAAAACTACTGTGTAAATCAAAGTACAAAAATAGCATTCTTAATTAGATTAATATGCCGAACATATTCACAATTATGCATTGCCTTATAAAAATAGAACATGCTTTGTGCTGAGCTTTGTTTTTCTACGTATATGCAGTTTACATATCCTTTAAAATTTTCTAAAACAATCACAGTCATTAAGTCAAAGAAAACATAACAACAATTATGTCAACTGATTAACAAGAGGCCCAAGGGCCTTGAATAGCTGATAAATTGTACAATCTATCACTTCTATTGGAAGCCTCCAACTCTATTAGTATCGTAAGACCCAAAATGCATCAACTTACAAAGTTTGATAATATTTAGCCAGTTAAGACTGAAGATATTATAATATAATTATAAAATACCATAAGTAGGTCACAGTGACCTACCTTTTGATTGAAATTTTCTGAGGACACAAGATACATTAATTGACAAAGACTGATGATTCTAATTAAATAAGTACCTGAGATATTCAAAAGTAGGTCACCATGACCTACTTTTTGGTCAACATTCTCTGAAAACCCAAGATGCATCATCTGAAAAAGTTTGACGATTCTAAGCCAATAAGTACCAGAGATAATTAAAATAGCCATGAAATGTCAAAAGTAGGACACGGTGACCTACTTTTTCGTCGACGTTATCCAAGAACCCAAGATGCCTAAACTGACAAAATTTTATGATTCTAAGCTAATAAGTACCTGAGATATTCAAAAGTAGGTCACCGTGACCTACTTCTTGTTGGACATTCAATGAAACCCTAAGATGCCTCAAATGACAAAGTTTGATGATTCCGAGCCAATGAGTACCAGATATAATTAAATATAGCCATAAAATGTCAAAAGTAGGTCACTGTGACCTACTTTTTGGTCAACAATCTCCGAAAACCCAAGATACATCAACTGACAAAGTTAGATGATTTTAGGTCAATAAGTACCAGAGATACTTAATTATAGCCACAAAATGTCAAAAGTAGGTCACCATGACCTACTTTTTGGTCGTCACTCTCCGAAAACCCAAGATGCATCAACTCACAAAGTTTGATGATTCTTAGCCTATAAGTACCGGAGATACTTAAATAAAGCCATAAAATGTCAAAAGTAGGTCACCGTGACCTACTTTTTAGTCATCACTCTCCGAAAATCAAATAAGCATCGACTCACAAAGTTTGATGATTCTAAGCCAAATACCTAAGATACTTAAATATAGCCATAAAATGTCGAAAGTAGGTCATCGTGACCTATATTTTGGTCAACATTTTTCAAAGACCCAAGATGCATCTACTGACCAAGTTTATTGATCGTAGGTCTGAACGTAATCAAAATATGCGTTTTAAACAATTTGAAAACAAATGTTGGCAAAATTCAAAAAGTAGGTCACAGTGACCTACTTTTTCATAAATATGTTTTAAGGTCCCAAGATGCATCAAAGTACAAGATTTGATGATTCTAAACCTCCCAGTGTCTAAAATAATGAGATTTAATGTTTTTAAAAAGATAAGTCATAAAGTTCAAAAAGTAGGTCACGATGACCTAATTTTAAGTTGACATTGTTCTAGGACCCAAGATTTATCAACTGACAAAGTTTGATGATCATAGGCCTTAAAGTGTCCAAAATATGCCTTCAAATCAATTTGAAAACAAATCCCCACAAAATTTAAAAAGTAGGTCACCGTGATGTGAAGTCGTAAGATGCATCAACTTCCAAGATTTGATGATCCTAGTCCTTATAGTAACCAAAATATACACATTTTTATTAATTGTGAATTTAGGTCAACTTTGAAGTGACCTTGAGACCACGCCCTTTGCCCCAGGGTAATTCCCCGTGCAAATTTTAATCTTCGACATATCCTGATCCTTGTATGTAAGTTTGGTGAAAATCTGCCTGGTGGTTATGGAGAAGAAGATTTTTTAGCAACCAGTACTTTTGGTTTTGTTTTCCTGATTATCTCCCCTTGTTTAAGGGTCCCAACCCTTATTTTAGTATAAATGGTAGCCCTTGGGCCAAGGATACCCTGTGACAAATTTGGTACTGATTGGCCAAGGGATTCTTGAGTTATGGCCCATATTCTAAAAAGTTTACACACACCGCACAAATGGCCATAGCATTAGCTCTTTGAGCCTTTGGCTCAGAAGAGCTAACAAATAGATGAAAGACATATAAATGTAATAAACTTGAAGTCACTCAGAAATATCTGGTGTTTAAAATCAACAAACAAAAATAATTTCAACAAAATTAATCTTTTAAGGATTAAATTGTGAAAGAAAGTTCATTATTCCTCTTTTTTCATCATCCCTCCATTTGATTTACCACTGGAGTTATCTTTCTTGAGGATGTCTTGAATGGGGCCACATCCTTCGAAGGAGCTAGGGTTTCTAAAGGAGCCCCCAATCCTGTCCCACAACGTAAAGAACTGACCGTAGTTATAATTATAGAACAGGTGGTGGTCAGTGTGGTGCGCAGAGCCATTGACGAGTGGCTTCAGAAGACTGGGCACACGGTAATCTCCGTCATGGATGGACACAGTCCAGATGTTCACAAACACAAACAGACATAAGTAGGTCACCTTGTGTAGCGGGAACAGGAAAGGGTAGATGTGGTACGGACAGCTCTGGAGAAATCCATCCAAGGGGTGAAACGCATGGGAGGCAAATGGAGTGGGGATCTTCCATCGGTGGTGGTCTTTGTGGATGTATTTGTAGATAAGTTTGTGGTGAAGGAATCGGTGGATCCAATAAATACAGGCATCAGTAAACAAAATAAAGCTCACTATGCTGAATAGGATGCTACACCAGCCTACAATAGATAAAAATCTCGCTCAGTTTGATCTTTTAACCTCACAATCAATAGGTTTAATCTTTCTTTAGGGAGAAGGAATAATAAACTGACGAAAAGAGAAACAGTTAGATTGACAGACCCAAATAAATATATCCCTCACTTTTAGTGAAAGTGGGGCAAAACACCAAAAAAAAATTTAAGTTCCTTCCAAAAAGCAATTCTTAAATCATGATTTTTTTTTTTACATAATTGATCAAGGCGCACAAGTGAGAAAGGTTATACATATAAATGAAACATCACTACTGTACCTACCAGCAAAGGAATTGGGGAATGTGTCATACAGTTTACTGTAACCTCTGACCTCAATAAAAAACAAGGCAACCGTAGGAAGGGACATCAGAGGAACTGATTTAATGGTGTACAATATCTCCAGCTTTATCTGGTCCTAAAATACAGATAACACAGTTAACTCCCTTTATACAGACTTAATGGTGTACAATATCTCCAGCTTTATCTAGTCCTAAAATAGAGATTACACTGTTAACTCCCTTTATACAGACTTAATGATGTACAATATCTCCAGCTTTATCTAGTCCTAAAATAGAGATTACACAGTTAACTCCCTTTATACAGACTTAATGATGTACAATATCTCCAGCTTTATCTAGTCCTAAAATAGAGATTACACAGTTAACTCCCTTTATACAGACTTAATGATGTACAATATCTCCAGCTTTATCTGGTCCTCAAATAGAGATTACACAGTTAACTCCCTTTATACAGACTTAATGATGTACAATATCTCCAGCTTTATCTACTCCTAAAATAGAGATTACACAGTTAACTCCCTTTATACAGACTTAATGATGTACAATATAAGGATGAAGTACTTGTACCTATACCTTGAGGAATAAAGGATGTTTCATCAGCCTGGAATCAAATATGGTGAAGTAGCTGAGAGTGGCTGTCATGAAGTAGAGGATGTACCCCCCTATGTTGCTGATCAGAAGGAGACTGAGTATCTGTCTTAAGGGGGAGTCCTCAGCCCAGGTAGAGGGGTATACATAGGGGGTCAAGACAAACCTGTCTGCATAACTCAGTATCAGGTCCATCCTGTGTACAGAGGTGAAAATTCTAAATACTGGATGTAAAACTCAACATCATGTCTTTATATTTCAAAATGATTATAATTATTTCTATATACGTTTCATGTAAAAATTACCTCTTACATTCAATTATTAAAAAAGGAAGAAAAAAAACACAAAGAAGCTTTGCCAATTTCCTTCTGAGGCACAATTAATTGTCTTAAATTCTTTTACCTTTTTAATAAATTTTATGAAGTTTCTAGCTGCTTTAAGTTTGTACTTTCAAATTTCTCCAACTCTTTTGTTCTGTCAAACTGAAAGCATAAAAAAGAAAAATTTATTTAATCTCCATCTCAAAAAATTATGCTGTGATGTACTTGAATTCTTAAGCATTCTGTTATAAACAAGGAGATAAAATTGAAAATAAAAGGTCACAGTTAATGTGGTCAATTTACATATTTGACACCAAATATAATTTTATTACATGCATATTGACCCCTTTATCAAAAACTGGTCTTGTTCAAACTTGAAACTACACTCATTAGTAATGTTAACCTTTAACATATACATTTTATCTTTTGTTGTCCAGCTCAAGTACCTCAAAGTATTAACTTATTAAAACAATAAAAGACAAAGTGTAATAGGGTGATATGGTCATTGGACTCTATTGCTAAGGTTGACTTATTCTGGGTGCCAAGAAAATCTTTCATTCTTTTAATACATGCAACCATTTTATTGATAAGGAAATAAAAATCAAATGATCGACTGAAGACTCAACAAAACATACAAATAGAAAATAGTTATGATATACCTGTAAAAAAATTACACTTGATCTTTTATTGAAATATTCAATGCCAATACTATACACATAAGTTTAACTTACCCAGTAATAAACTACATGCATTATGTATAATAACTTTTATTATACTTCTGTTAAAATGTTTCATATATAATGTTCTGAAGGTAAAATAACTATCTTTTATAGTTCACGCATAGCAAAGCTATACCCCGGGGTATAGTATACACTTATCCACTGTTTGTGAGTGGGATAGCTCTTTTATCAAACCCGCGACAGGGAACTATTCCCCGAGGGCTTGCCCGAGGGGAATAGTCCCTGTTAAGGGTTTGATAAAAGAGCTATCCCAATCACAAACAGTGGATAAGCGTTTTATTATACTGATGTATGATATAATTTCTGATGTTTGAATTTTTTGGAATGAGATAATACTGCAAGAATAATCTGAAATCCTGATGACGTCACAATGCTTCTAGAGTCATTATGACATCATCAGTCTATAGATCTATAGCTGGAAATCAAAATTGGCGGCAAAAATTGCATGAAAATTTTCCGAGGGTGGATAGCAAAAACTATACCCCGGGGTATAGTTTTGCTATGCGTGGACTATACAAGATAGTTATTTTACATTCTGAACTTTATATAGGAAACATTTTAACAGAAGTATAATAATTTTTGCTATCCACCCTTGGAAAATTTTCATGCAATTGTTGCCGCCAATTTTGATTTCCAGCGATAATTCTTTAAACTGATGATGTCATTATCACTTCAGTAGCATTGTGACTTCATCAGGATTTCAGATTATTCTTGCAGAAATTATCTTAATTACTCCAAAAAAATTCAAACCTCAGAAATTATATTATACATCAGTATAATAAAATGCTTATCCACTGGGTGTGAGTGGGATAGCTCTTTTACCAAACCCGTGACAGAGAACTATTCCCCGAGGGCTTTCCCTCGGGGAATAGTTCTCTGTCGCGGGTTTGATAAAAGAGCTATCCCACTCACACCCAGTGGATAAGTGTATACTGTCATTAGCTGATAATATTGACAGATAAATCACTCTATCACGAGGACAAATCTGAGGATGCATGCCAAGGATAAAGTTGAATCATTTTATTGTATGTCGGTCAAAAATAATACATTTACATTAATCAGATGTTGTTAAAACAGCATGCTGAAAAAACTATTTTTAAATGGAAAAAAAAATCATCAAATATTAATCTTCAGAGCTAATCTCTCTGGAAAGGGCTTAGTCAAGTTAGTATGTAGTGACAGACTAGGTCTATACATCATCAACATTTAAACAATACACGTACTGAAAGTTACATGAAGAACATCTAATAAAATCGTTTCTTATTTTTATAAAAATACCAATTAAAGTCCTTACCAAACAATTTTATAATTCAATCAAATAAATCATGACGGATTTAGAAATCGCAGTTGATATTGACACAGAAATTTGTTAACTCGTACTTCGGAAAAGAACAATTTTAAGAACGACTTGCCTAGCTCTGAAGGTCATCGGGGGAGCCATGTCGAAAATAGTGAGATTGGCCAACAGAGGCGTCGAATTAACAAAGAAATATGGCAACATAGCATGGAACGACTATATAAACAAAGGTACTTTCAACCGATAAATAAATTCTACCCCCTATCTCAAAATTTCTACCATAACTTTAATGTCAAGAGGTTGAAAATCAACTCTTGTATCTGTACTCACTTTTAGGTTACCGGTTTCTCATTCTCTGTAAATAGGACTCTTAGAAGAAAGATATGTTCATAAAAAAATCTTTTTTCATTATTTGTTTAAGTCAATGAGATTGTAAAATATTCACTATTGCTAATTTTTGCCTGTTTGTTTGGAGGAAATTCAGACCTTGGGCACTTGGTTTGAGGAGGATGTATTTTACTTATTAGGTTTCTAGCTGTATCTGATACCATTAATTAAAATAAATCTAAAAACTTGCTAAAATTAGCACGTATTAAATATATCATTAATCATATGTATACAGTATATAAAAAAGTTAAATTATGTCAGTTGCAAGGATTTTAGTGAGTACCCCATTTCACACTTGATTTTAATGTTTACACTTTTCCTACCAGTGCAGGATGAACTTTAGCACTGAAAATGATATGGCCCTTCAAATATCTGCCATTTTGAACTTGCCATATAAAGAATGTAACAAACTAAAACATTCTTGATAACTAGCATTGAAACTGAAAGCAACTACATGTAACTATGTAAAATGTCAAGATGTCTTGAAATTACACAGAAAGTCTAGAGAGGTCAGAATCCATGCCAAACGTTTGCTCTCAAAACTTTCTATGCTATTTTAATCTATTATTTCTATTTGTTAATTACAAATTGAATCTCTTGACTTTTTTCCAGTTGCCAAATGTCAGGCCAATGGCCAGACGATGTCTCGCATCCAGTTACTAACATTATATGTAAAAGCAGAATTAGGCCCTCCAAGTCCAGCACAGGCTAGGGAAAGCATCGCTAAATTTATGGACCTCCCTTGGTCACTTACAAGAGAGAGGCTGATGAACATGACTACAAAAGTAAGTTATTGTTATATTACTAAAGAAAAAGTGACATTCCATATTGCTCATTTTTGTAGACTTTATATAAAATTTAATACCCAATCATTTATGATGCAGAGACATATGTCAGTTATTTCTAAGCTGTACTTTGATTGAATAAAGTAAAATCTGCAGGTTGTAACATTGTTAAAGTGTAAATAAAGCAACATAACTTATCATCACAGGTTTATATACATTACTATATAAGGAAATATAGTTCACTTTTTGCAAAACATTGGGAACTTGGATAATTTAAATTACATTAACTTGAAAATAAAATGATAATTCCTTGTGTATTTTTTCAGGAAGCCCTCTGTAAGTCTCTGCTCGTAGTTGATGTTGCTATCTTTTTCGCTATCGGTGAAGTGATTGGCCGCGGAGACTGGGCCGGCTACCCCATCAAGGGAGCTTCAGGCTGGGAATTCTCTAATATGTACACAGAGGAAGACATCAAAAAGATGGACGCCGAGAGGGCAAAGACCAACCAAGCGTAGCGTGAATGGAACTAACGAAGTGTAGCATTATCTGGACATTTATAGACAAAACTTAAATCAGTGATTGTGTTTGTTATTTAACACTGAAATAAAAAACAGAACACGTTCTATTTATGTTGCTGTTATTTCTCTTTTTCTGCTTCTGAGGTATAGCATATTGTAGATTTTTAGTGTAGTATGACATATATTTACATTAATTTATAATTCATTCAGAGCACTAATGTATGATGGAGGGTAGAATTGGGATTTTTTTCTGATTTTTTTTTTTCAATTGTTCTTTTGATAATTAACAGTATCAATGTTCATAC